GATTGGCAGAAATGGGTTTCAAAATTGGCCCCCCAGATCTCCGGACTTAACTCCACTAGATTTCTTTTTGTGGGGTAGATAAAAGGAATTGTCTACCATACGCTTCCGGCAACTTCACACGATATGAAAACACGCATAAGAGACGCTTTTAAAACTGTAACTCCGCAAATGTTGTCCAGAGTTAGCAGTGGTTTTGTAAAAAGAATTTACAGAAAAGTGCCTGGAAATGGACGGTCAACATTTCGAACATTTGTTACAAATAATTTGCCTTTGTTTTATGTTATTGTTGATATGTTATGTAACCTTTTAATTTAAAAAAAAACACCAAATGGTGCACAGAACCATTGTTTGGTGTATTTTGTAAAAAGGCAAAAACTTAGTTATCAACATCCTAGTACCATTTGATAGGTAATTAAAAATTGCATTTCCTGGTAAGCTAAAAAATATGGGGTTGTATTTAAATTAATCAAGTTATAGCCACTTAAAGTTCTTATTTGATTAGTTTAAATTTGTGGACACCCTGTGTAAAATGGTAAGTTTGTTATCATTGGGATATAAAATATGATTTCTTGTTACCCTACACTACGAATTACGTTTACATAACTTAAATAATTCTAAAGTATTTGACACATGAAAATAAGATTAGATTTTGATAAAATTCGAATTATTTAAAAAACCTTTAGAATTAGACATTATAAATCTCATTAAAACAAACACTTATTTTGCTCAGAGAATCCAAAAATGCAATAATCTATAGGATATTTCATTTAGAAAAACCCAACTTTGATATTTACAAAAAGCAAATGGGCTAGCCGCAAACGTCCGTGCCGTATAGCGTGCATAACCCTGTATATTAAATGGTTCATTTTGCCGTTTTTAGAAAACCCCGAAACAAAATTCCCGATTGAAGGAAAGAAACTTACGTCTTGGATCATTTGTAAGTTTCATTTTGTCCAAAGTCGGTGCCATTCGGTCATTGTAGATCAGCACGCCGCCAGCTCCGCTCTTAAACGCGTTGTCCACTTTCACGTCAAAGTTGCATTTTCCGCGCTTGATCAGAGCGATCCATGGAGTGCCTGGAACAAAAGTTCTGGAAATTCAACGAGGAAAACTGCATAATGAGTGGGACAGTGTGGGGAAAACAACGACTCTACCTGAATGGGGAAGTTTCCCATCCGATCTGGAGCTGTCGTACGGATAGATGCAGCCGAAATGATCGGCCTGGTCGTGTTTGGATGTGACATGGACCAGCAGGCCGTAGGCAGGACCTGGAAAGGAAATTTTCCGATAGAACAGTTTGCAACGTTGTCTGGTGCCATAAGCAATTTCACACCTGCAGGAAGTCTCAAATAATTCCGATCCATTGCTGTTTACAAATAATAATGCTTGGCTACGTGCACAACATTTTAATTTTCAACGGCCAGCAGGTTGATTCCGACTTGTTTCGCATTACGATGTCTGAAGCCGATGCATATCCGGAATAGGATGCGCATTTTATCCCATCACATGTGCGGGGTTTTCCGCTATTTTGAAATCCGCAAAATCTTTCGCAGATTGTCATGGTTTAATGATCGGTTTGGGTAACATTAATCAAGACGCTCCCATTTATTTGAAGAACAACGCACTTTGCACAATAAATAAACATCAACGCTATGAATGCGAAGTTCTACAACCGTTAATCTTCAGCATTGTCGTGCAAGTAAACGGGTTAATGATTCCTATCCTATCTCACTTACTTGCACAACTTTGGGCCGAACCCCCGTAGCGCGTCGACCCTATTTGAACTGATCGCGGATCAGTCGGTTCTCTCCGATAATGCGGGTGCGAGCGAGAGACACATCGTCATCACCTTGGCAACGGATTGGCCTTGATTCGTTTCGCCGATTTACGAGGGGTGATCCCGAGCTGAATTATTTTTGCGATGGTTTGCTCTTACCAATGTAACTTCCTCCATATCTTCCAACGTCCGTCTTGTCCCATTTCCAGCCATGATCAGTCTTGAAGGTGACGTTCAAATAGGCCGAAATGAACGTGTTGTCTTCCCCATTCAAGTTGAAATTTAACGAGTTCGGCACCCAATCTTCGGGTGTGGCATCTGAAGCAGACGGTTCGACGAAGTAAAGCAGTAGAAGAAGAAAACTCGTTGATCTGCCAAACAGTTTCGCCAGCGATTCCGAACCGAACATTGTTGTGGAGTGACTTTTCCAGTTGATGTAGAACACTGAAAAATGGAGTCAAAATTTAGAAAAACTCTGATTTAGAGTGCGATAATTAATCTATAATCTTTCGGGTTTGTCTACAACCTTCATTTAAAAGATTTGTATGTGAGGTTTTTTTTTCAATGGGAAACTACAAATCTACCAGTTCCAGCCAATCTGTCTTCGAGCGCAACATTCTACTGCAATCTGTTATTTAAAAAATAACGTTTTTCCGGGCTGTGTCTATAAGTTTACCGGCGTATTTCCCATTAATCATCCTGATTGATTAGGGTATTTAATGAGGCCTACACTTTAATGAGATGATAAAAACAGGCTTAATTGGGTTTCCAATCAAACACTTTCCGCATAGACTGGAAATGCTACTTTGCCAATAT